TACGCTGAGCATTTTTTTGACATGTGTAATTTTTAAAAAATGCGATTCTTCTCACAGTAACACAGTAACAGAGTTGAACTCACCTCAAATCTGCCACTCATTAACATAAACATGATTGTCGTAGCCGAAACCAGAAGCGATGCCATCAAAACGCATAGTGCTGCCTTTATATACATGTACCGCTCGTTGGTGAAAAGCTCGCCTCTCGGCTCTTGGTACACGAAGTTAATCGCCGGCGGCTCAGGCTCCATTCGAATATTCTAAATCAAATAAATATGATTATTATTACTGTCAGAAATGCCGCGCTGCATCAGTTACCATGGTTGCCTAAACTGCTGCCCCTAGAACACTAGAAGTAGTACGCTTACAAGGAGTAAATCCGATAGGCGAAATTGCAAAGTATGATTGCCGGCAGTGTTTTAAAACTACAGTGTTGTGGCTACCCCGAAATATTTGGATTATGTTTATCCTTATAACTACTAACTAACTAACTATATTGATAATAATGCCAAATCGCTTTACTAAATGAATCCTTATGCCCAAACCTCAGAAAGCGAGCTGGCGTTTATTTATCTTATGACTGTCATGAATATACATAAGCATCCTAAAGGCGTTGTGGTATGACTGAACGAATGAATGAACAGAAAACTAATATTATTTCAAAAACTCAATGCAGTGGCTAGTTTATACACCAGTTGTAGACTCGCTGATTTATGCATACGTTTTTAGCACGAACAGCGGCTGACCCACTAGGTTTTTTCATTTTTTAGCAGACCTGAGTAGTTGTTTTTCAGCTGACCTGAATAGTTGTTTTCGTAGATATAGGCCGTCCTAGAAAGGTATCTTCGTTTGTGTTCGACAGTATCATTGATTGGCCAGATATGGTGATGTTGCCTCACGTCCATGACTTACCGACTCCCAAATTCGATCGAAACGTGGCATGCCATCATTTACATCATTTGCATGTCCTCTAGGCAGCTGAAATCAACCAACTTTCTGCCATCGTCTCCTCAGTCAATTTCATGCAAACGAGTTCTTTACGGGGGCATAGAAAATCATGGTAGTTGGTCTCGGCATACCGGGTCGCTCTTTTCTGAATAATCCTTTTACTCAAGAAACAGAATGCGAATGTGGTTTCAACATCGTCTCAACATTGACTCATTTATTTAAGCAATATCTGAAAAATGGACAGACTTTACCATGATTAGTCACGAAGAAAATGGGAGGCGGTCAACGGGTCGCAGGCAATGGTCAAAATGGCACTTGCTCAGTCGATAAAGCCCCAAGGGCAGAGTCCGGACTCTACAGCCTGGATGTGAGTTCTGGCCAGACCACTAGCCAGTAAATCGAAGCGAGTTCCACTTTGTGAAAAAGGAAACAGGAGGTCACACGTTATACTGGTCACCCAGCTGTACGTAGACACTGCCCTTAAAAGCTGGTGCTCTTGGTCGATAACATGTAAATGGAGATATACCATCACCTTCATGAAAGGAAGGATAGTGACCATCATGGAAACGAAACAGAGATCTATATCTCAACGGCTTAAAATTTCCTGTTATTAAGAGTGATATGGCTTAAACATACTATTGCGCGTTGCTGTGACATTGGAATCAAGCCCATGATGCTTTTCCAATCAGCGGAGAAAGGGGCCTACTATTTGGAACAAGCATCTTGAACCTACTGCCCGCACCAGTCCGAAAGGAATGTTGAATTTTAAAGATTAATGAAGAGACAAATAATGACACTACCGTATATACTGCTTCATGAAGACAGTATAATGAAAAGTATATAATCTTATCAAGCTATGCACGGGAAAGGAATATAAATTCACATATGTTATTTATTTGAGTCAGATTTTTGTCTGTTTTTCTCTCCTTGAGGTATCTTCTTTCAAAAGCTTCACTGTATGAGTCAGATAAAAGCCTCAACATAACCCATGTTAATAGGTAATACGAAATTCAACGTACCTTTAGAGCAAGTTGAGCTATCCAGCAGGTAATGTAATGGAAAACAAGAAGGTAGTAATACGAATCAGGTAGAAATATAACATATTTCAGAAGAAAGATTGGAAACCAGGTCAAGGCAGAGGAAACTTTTTCGGCAGCGATTAATGAGACTTTAAGAGACGAGTTATACGATTTGTCGTTTGAAAGTCGTTCGCTACTTTGCTGCAGTACAAAGCAACGCACTTTCCGCGAATGGTGGCTTGTCTCAACGTCATAGAAATAGAGGGCAACGACAAAAGGGCAGGTTCTTATTATCAGATGAATTACGATCAACTCGCTCTATCCGCATAATCACTGTAGTAGCCATGGAGGCATATAATGAGGTATCGACAAGTCACATAATTAAATAATAGCAATCGAATAATATGGCCGTCCTGACAACTTCATATGGTCTGTCTAGGAGAAGAGTTCTCTAATTATAGATGTTTAAACGAAAATTGGAGACATCGGTTAGAATTAATTAAAGCGGTTCCCGAAACGTTCCGTTGTAAATATCCACAGAAGATGAAATTACGTTTATGAAACACATAACGATGGACAATGGATCTTTAATCAAAAGAATCCATCCGGCAGCTAATGCTGACATGATCAATGACTATACTTTTCTTCTCACATCCAATTGTCTGACTGACGGAGGATCAGCATCATTAGGAAAACCATTTCTTCAACCTTAGAAAACCAAAGGACTGTGACAGCGCATGGGTGTCTGTCAGTCAGAAAGTTATCAAACAGACAGAGTTGAATATGTAGAATATTTGGCATAGCGAACTGTTTTCTGTTTCTATATATTAAATATTCTTGTGCTATGTAAAATATATTAAATAGACCTCGTTATAAATGCAGAATCAGGCACATTTGTCTCTAATAAAAAAATAATTAATTTCATGCGTGTGCAAAAAACAAACATCGATAAATAACGGTTATCTTTGCTGTAGATAAGCATAGACTAAAAAGGTTAAATTCAGCTATTTCAGCTAGGTCTCAACGGCATTGTCGAAAGATGTGTGGATATCGTCTGAGGTTCAGCACAAGAATCCATTATGAAATGAGCCAATAACCAATAGCACATGGATTATAGGAAAGATAATGTTTGAAATATTGTTGATATTTTATTTATTTTGTTCACAATTACACCGTACGTGGGATTGTGCAGCCTTGGAATAGCGCGCTGTTCGAGCCTACCGCATGGTGTACTTACAAAAATTAATATTCTCACAGGTAAAAGCGACAACCTAGCTGTAGAAACACGTTTCCTGACACATGGCCCTTGGTAGTCTCTTGTTTTCTACAGACCCTACTGTCTTGTGAGGGCTATGGATGTTTGCATAGGACTCTTCCTCACTACGATGAAAGAATTATGCTCATTACTGTAAGTGTATTTTCACCGTGTTTAATAGGTTATTCTATATACCATACAGTTTGTTGTTAGAATTAAATCAGATAACAACGTGATCTAATAAATTTATTATTACAGAGACCATCAAAATCGACAATAAAAACGAAAAAGGATGAAAATTAACTTTAAAGGAAATGTTGGCTATTTTGGAAATAGAAGAAGAAAAGCGATGTTGGGCAAAAATTTGGTATTGATCATTCGACGTTGTCTACAATCTTAAATGATCTTCAAAAGGTTCAAGACAAGAATAAAGAAAGACCATTAGGACCTCAATTAAAGAAGATTCCAAACGCTTTGCATGAAGACATCGAAAAAAACTGTTTTTGCATGGTTACAAGATGTTCGTTCAAGAAATATCCTTATTAATGATAGGATAATACACTAAAAAGTATTAGATTTTAAGAAAGTCTTAAGACACGATAATTTTCAAGCAAGTGTGGGATGCCTCAGTAGGTTTCGATAGCGATATGAAACAACTTGCAGGGTTATCTGTGGAGAAAAGAATGATACCACAACATCGAATCATCGAATGGCATGCCGGTGAAATTACAAGGATAATCATAGAATAGAATATTAATTAACTTTTTCTACCCAGCCAATGAGACTGGGTAGCTCTGTGAGCTTCTTCTACATCATGCACTCCTCTCTAAGAGAGAAGGATG